GTCCGGCACGAACACATTGTGAATATATAGTCTGGTTATAGTAGAGATGAGGAGTTTCTGCCGAGTTTAGCCCTGAGTTAGTTCCTTTTCTACTAGTTCACTCTTTTGGGGGAGGGTAGGGGCGGTGATAGTGCGCTCGTTAAACTTTCTTCATGTTCGTCCGTTTCCAAGTGATTACTTGCCCATTGCTTGAAAATGAGACATTCATATGGGGTCCTCTGCGTCTATATGACCTTTGGAATGTACTCATTGATTTTTAAACAATAGTAGGACGTAACAGAATTCACATATTCCGTGCATATGGCTGTCTACGAATTTCACAACCTTTTCACCCTTCCACCTGTAAGCGGTAGAGTAGTTGGAAAGTAAGGGGGCCAACGAGACTAGGTCATGACAGTATTCGTCTACCCTCCCACACAGACAGTGATCGTACAGTCATCCTCGGCCCAACAGCATAGCACCAGAGAGCTCAAATCAGCAGAAAACGGCGTAGCTCAGTTTCGCCATGACCCTTGTGCATATCCTTAGTTCCGGCAGCGGGTTAGCGCGGCGTAAGAGTCTTTGCTGTCGGGGCCATTCGCTTCCAGACCCAATCGATTAGACGTGGCAGAGCTACGTAGTATCAGGACAACTAGCCAAGAAATATTTTGTGCGCGCTGCCAGGACCTGGGATTAACGTCATACTCCACTGAGCTAGGCTAGCATTCTCCTATATATCTTTAATTACAGTCAATGTTGACGCAGTCAGTCGGGGCGGTGTCAAAAAAAGGGATGGAGTGGGTCCACCTGCGGAGTTCAATCGATCACTGTTCGTAGGGAAAGGCAGCTGAAGCCGAAGTGGGCTCAATCCGCCCCTTCGACTAGATTGGCTAACATTTTTTATAATTTTGCGTGAAGTCTCCTGTGAATCTGAGGCTGCATTCATATTTTGCCGCAGCGTCCACCAGCTACCACTAGCGTTTCGAGCGTCCGGTGGCGTCAGCGACTAGGAAACTATAGATATCGATAACGTCTGCTAGCGTCTACCAGCGTCTACTAGCGTCCACCAGAGACCGGGAGAAGAAGTAGGAGGGCAACAAACAGCTGGATTCGGAATCATGCAATTTGAAGTACGGTGCAGCGTAGTTGTACGGTGCGGTTCCACACGCCGCACTTCACGATGCCCGATCCAGCTGCTTGCTCCCCCCCCCCCCACCTCGCCTCCCCACACTCTCTAACTCCCGGTCGCTGGTGAACGCTGGCAGACGCTGACAAACGCTAGATCGACACCTATGCTTCCCTAGCTGTCGATACGCTGAAAAACTCTTGTGGACGCTGAAGACGCTAGATCGATATCTACTTTCCTAGTCGCTGACGCTGCCGGACGCTCGGAACGCTAGTGGTCGCTGGTGTACGCTGGTAGACGCTGCCGCAAAGTATGAACGCAGCCTAAAAGAATCTGCAGAAAAGAAGAAGTGGTATATTTAGCTGCTTATTGTGCTGATTGCTGTTGGGATTTTCTTCGTGACACGAGCGATCCGTGATCGTCGACGAAATCACGGCGAGTATCGTCCACAATTCGAAGAACTTCATCATGCCAAGGATTTGCCTTATCTTCAACCGCCGGCTGTCGAAGGACTCATCTAAAATACAAGTGAGGACGTTACTCTCACGACTTTTCATCGAATCGAACGTTTTTCATGACCACCCATATTTTGAATGAGTTTTCTAAGTCGCTCATTAACGAATGAAATCAAATCTGCAGAAGTCATGCCTCTATCAATACTTAATATTTAAAATTTTGAATTTGTCATTCATTGTAATTGTCCCGGTTTAACGGTTTCTTTGGCGTCTATACATCCATCGACAGTCTACTGTGAGGGGCAATCTCAGGTTATTGCTAAGCACATAGTACAACGTTTAGTTTATATTAACTGATACTTATAAAGCTCAATCGCCGAAGAGGGTCGTGTTCGTAACTCATGGTATTGGAGCGTGCGGTCGCAGAGCGGCCTACTTGCCCGCGACCGCACGCGAATCTGCCATATTTTGTGAACACAGCTGATTTGTGATGGCGACGGCGCGTATAATATTTATATAACTACATTTTCTGGAATGACTCGTTGTATTATGTAGATCCATGCGTCGTGGCTGTGAATCTTTCATGTGATGCTTCCATAATGTTGTGTTTTGCTCCACTATTCACTTATATTTAGTAGCTCGTTTCAAATACTACTTCTTTCTTAGTGTATCCCAAATTGCTCCTATTTGAAAGTTGTTTGTTCTGCTAACTATTGTAAGAGTAATGTTGTTCATACTGTATTACTGTGATTTTCTATCTATTCTTTGCCATGAGGCGCTGTATTATCCCGGTGCTCTGTCCTGTATAGAATGAGTTTTAAGAGAGTCTATAAATTGTTTTTACATAATTTATGTATAGAATTTCAATGATGCAATTAAAAATTTCGTCAATTAAACACGGCATACGAAAAAATTCAAGGCGCTGTTCCTGTTCGGCTGATTAGGGGGGTTAGGGAAGGGGGAGGGGTGGCGTGGGGAAGAGAGGGGGGAATTTTGTACTTTCGCTCGTTCCTTCTGCTAGTTCACCTTAACTAACAGGTCTCACAATTTGTAAAACCTGTCTACTCTTGTAAAGTTGCAAAATGGGCAAGTGAGCCCCTATAGTTACAGGAACATGGACCTTCACAATGTTGCCATTGCAGTTTAGTTTTCCTGAGTCCAAGTCGGTGCCCCTACCAAGCCGACCTGCTGAAAAATTAAGGAAGTTGATTGTGGCAGCTTATCCACTGTTGACTTTTTGGTCGTGTGAGGTCTTCTTTTTCTGTGCATACCGAAACCGCAACCAAGATAGATATCAACGCAACTTTACGTTTCGGCTTGGTCACCCTTGTCGCAGTCTGGAAAGCCAATGGCAGTGTGATCTACCGCTGAATGCCATTTCGAACTTCCATTATCCCTTAAAGCTGCATTCATACTTTGCGGTAGCGTCCACCAGCGTCGACTAGTGTTCCGACCGTCCG